TGGCCCTGAAGGGCAGAGATCCCTTTTCCCGACAGGAGGCAGCATTACGTGGTCTACGGTCCTTGTCAGACCCCTTGCCGCAGCAAAAGCGGCCGCCATGAGAACCTCGGCCGCTGTAAGACCTAGAGTTCTAGGGACGGAACCGGGGCGGCGACAAGAAAAAGGCTGAGGTGTAGCTGGCCGAGGTGTCAACTGCCGACTACGCCCTAGCACTCTGACAAGCCAACGCTGCCAGTGTTGAATCGTGGTCTCAGAAGCGAAGCTTCGCCACTTCGATGTGCATCGTTCTCGTCTTGAGCCAGGCGGACAAGCTTTTCTTGCACTTTCTGGCACAGCAGTCGCACGCATGGCATTAAAAACTGCACACGTTGCGTGGAAGCGCGGAACGTTGCTGATTGCAAAAAGTCTGTCAGCGACCTGCCAAATTGAAGTTCACACGTTTTGTGTGCACGACAGGACGAAGATTTGAAATCTCGACCTTTCCCCTCAGCATCCTTTGGAACAAGGCGTGCGTTCTGTTTGCGCCTCGAGGGTCTGCCTGTTCTGGAAAAATGGAAACATGTCGGTATTACAAGTCGCTGCGGACTTGTCCTTCAGACAGAGTACCAGGCAACATCCAATACAACCTCAGTTGATGAGGCAAGCGTAGCTCAGAAGGAAGAGCTACAAAAAAGAGGGCAAGCGGCTGAAGAAGTCGTTATCATTGCAAGCAAGAGACAAGCTTCCAGCAATCAAGCCAGTAGAAAGCAAAGCCAGAGCAAGATACCTGCAAGGAAGCAAGTCAGGAACCACAGCACAGCTTCCCAACCTCTTTAATGCCTGAAGTTCGCCGGAGCAGACGGCTCTGATTCGAGGCCTTAACGCCCCACAGTAAATCCACCAAAATTTGAGCAGGCTCATTCATCGATCAGGGGGCCAGGCTCCGCTCTTTCCTGCTTTCTCTGTTGGCTCCAGACTTGCACATCCCACGGCCCATCGCCTGACATGAGTGTGGCTCACCAGCGATTCTCTCGCACAGCCGCTTGCAAGATGCCGAGCTCACACAGGTCCAGTAGAACTGCAGCAGAACCACGGCAGCGAAAGAAAGGCTTGCCTTAGTAAGCTTTGCACCGCTGTTGCCACTATTCCGGCATACCCTCTGAAGGTGCGCTCTGTGCTTCCCGTCTAGCTGCTAGTCTAGCTTGGGGGCAGGCGTAGCTCCTTATCGCTGGAGGCCTCACCTGGCAGCAATCTGCAGGAGCCTGTCCCACGAAAAGTTCAACACAACTCGATGACTCCTCGACCACAAGCGCTGTCAGCGGTGGTGGAAGCGCCTCAGGCACTGGGCCAATTTTTATCACGCAGTTCAGCACGCTTTGGCTTGAAAGACAGCGCACAAGGCTACAGGATGCTACAACTGCTACAGGCCAGAATCTGGCAGAGTGAACAATCACGATTTGCCTCATTGCCTGGATACCTGGGTCTCTGCATTCGGATCGGCCACCACCTGCCAGCATTCACCGGTATCCCCGCTTTCCTCTCCTCGCAGAAAGGCCATTTACAGGGTTTTTGTGGGGAGGGCACATGGCGAGCCGAGGCTGGCACATTCGCCCCTCCCCTCTTCTCTCCCGCACACAGGGTCTACAACAAGGACACCATTGGGCGGGGGACTGGCAGCACGCACTGCGGACACGCATGAGGCCTATGATTGCCTGTGGTCGTTCTTGTCTTCCCCTTCAGGCTTCGCAAAAGAGTGGTGCACGCGTGCTTGGGGAAACAGAGACCGAGAAACGCTCTGACAGTAGCATCCGATGCGGACGTCTTTCCAAAGCTCCTTCAACTCTTTTGCTCTTATTGGTCTTAACTTAGGATCTGGCCGCGAGCGGAGATGTCCATCCAAACGTGCTGGCCTGCAGCTCCGCCATCACAAAACTCGAGCAACGCTTGTGACAGTTCATAGTCGAGGGAACGGCCAAGAGTGCTGTACCGAGGGCAGGAAACCAAATGAGACGTATCACAGCCTCGGCAGCATCAGGGACGCTGCTAGCACTGTTTTGCAGACTTGCTTCCTCGCTGCAGGTGGTCCCTGGTGTTTCGCTTCGAAGGAGCCTCTAGATAGCCCCTTGGTGCAAAAGATACGTGGCCGCCGCTAGAAGTAGCCGTGGTCGTTCGGACAGGGAGAGTGTCGGCCAAGTGCCGACAGCACGAACAAGTTGACGAGGCGACGAGTTTCTGGTATCAGCTGCTCAGACCAGTGCTAGATAAGACTCTGTCAACAACTTGAAACTCAGCGCGTAGGAGTCGCATGGAGCCACTTAGACGAGCACCCGCGAGCTAAGGCATGAACCCACGTTAGGTAAAAGCCCAGCTCGCACCACGCAGGACGTCCCAAGAGTCTGCGTAGGGTCAGCAAGACGGTGTTGATCTGCGGTGCAGGAACATAAGAGAATGGGCACTCTGACACTAGGCTCAGCTGACGAGTCCTCCACGAGTAAAGCCCGGCTCGCGTTTACGCGATGGCTTTCCTGATGTGGCGGCAGCCGTGCAATGGAGGAGAAGTCCAAACATGCAAAAAAGCTAAGCCGTCACAAACGACAATGCCGCAAAGACCTTTCGGCATTGCACTGTTGTCGGCTGATTTCCTCCCGTTTGCTGCTAGAGCACATAAAACATTGGCTCTACGATGACGATGAGAGTCACCTGGGTCTTGATGTTCACTCGTGCGAAACGAGATTGGTGCAATCTCCGAGGCCGAAACCAAGTGATGCAGAATTACGCTGACGGGCGTCTTGACCTGTGTATGAAGGCCATCCGACTGCAGTGGCTCCCACAGCGACCACACATTGGAGGAAGGCCGGGGAATCGAACTGCGAACCGGAACCGCAGGAACCCAGCTGCGCAAGAACCGAACCGCACAAGACCGAACCGGCTAGGAACTCTAAGAAACCGAACCTCTGACGGTTCGAAGTCTTGTGGCTTTAGGGGCTCCGAAGACGTGTTGTCTCGTGACAAGAACTGTTATAAATCAAGAAAGTGGAGTCTGAAGCGGGACTCCGGATTCCAGACTGGAATTGTTCAATTGAACAGTGTGCATGGCTTTTGCGCCCAAAACCGTGCATCAGCCGATCAGCCGATCGGCTGCGCAGTCTAGAAACCCACTTTGCGAGCACAATGCAATTGAATTAAAAAGGCACCCTGTTTTGTGTTTTTCAAGTCTCTCAACGCCAAGAATAGCACCCTATTTGGCGGCAGACCGCGCAAAAATTGTGTTTTGTTGAAGTTTCAAGGTGCGACCCCTGCCAAGAAAAATATAAGTAAGTAGTTTGGGTTTTCCAGGCGTCTCAGTGCCAAACACGGCAAGTACCTTTTTTTCTTGGCCTCTTTCCAAGACCGTCGAGCACAAAAAGAGCGCCTTTTTCTGGTGCGACCCCTGGGCTTTACAGGGCTCCCCAACCCAGAACAATCTCAAGCCGGGAACCCAAAAACCAAATCGTTCTTTAGGCATAAGGGAGAGCTTTGATCCAGAGCAGGCCTTTCTGACTTTTTTTCGCCGTCCGCATCTCAAGCCAGCGAGCAACCCTGTGAAGATCCCATGAGCAAGACCTCAGGCAACGCTCGGCACCCAGAGCTCCCCACCCGTCCCCGTCCACGGCCACGTCCTCCCGCGAACGCTCGGCACCCAGAGCTCCACGGCCCGTCGACACAATCCGGTGGACGCGTCCTCTTCGCTAAACGGCTTTCCGGTCCACGGCAACGTTTTTTGGTGAACGCTCCCCGCGGGAAGGAAAAATTAAACAAGAACCCAACCCCCAGGGGTTTTTGCGAAAAAAGCATACCCTGCTCTTATGTTTCTCGAGCCCGAAAAGCTGCCTTCTTCCGCCGCAAAAATAAGCCCTGTTTGTGCCCTTCCATGGCTATCGATCCTTAAAAGGATACCGTTTTCCGCCGCAACCCGTGGGCTTTCTGCGAAACCACCTCGCAGGAAAAAGGCACCCTTTTGGGATTTTCCGGTGCTCTCGAGCCCAAAGAGAGCAGGCAACAAAAGGGTCTTTTCCCTACAAACCCTGACATTAGTGACATGCTACATGACATATTTCGGGTCCACGCCCGGGGGCCCGGGCCATGTCCGGTTGCAGCGCGATCCAGAGAGCGTCGGAGACCAAGTAGGCCGCGGTCACGGCGATGACGATCGTGTGGAGGGAGGACTCCTCTTCCCGGGGAGCTCTGCTCAAAGCTCGGTTTCGCTTTCCGCTTCTCCGGTGGCTCCTCGCCAGACTCCAGGGCCGCCGCACTCAGGGCAAAGATTGCCGTCAGCGCCTTCAGCGACGAGCAATCCAGTCGTCACCCCTTGCTTTCAACATCGAGACCCAGGCTGCAACATTGACCCAATCATGAAGCAGCCCTGCTGTGAAGGGCCTCGGAGCTGGAGTGGAAGTCAGTACCCCATGTCACAAGCCGCACCATACCGCGCCTCCGCTCCTGTGCGGCTTTTCCAAGCACAGACATGGCGCCTGTGTGAGGACTGTGACAGTGATATACAGTGATGTGGTCCCAACTCAGCATGCCGCCGACGTTCAGGGTCGCACCAAACAGGCGAGGCACGGTCTCATGCCATCTGTACTAGGAGGCATGTATCAACACTTTCAGATTTACACGATATGGGCCAATGAAGCAATGGTGCTGCACAGTTTACTGAAAACCTATCTACCGTGGGAGTGAGCTGATGTAAGTTCAGGTGTTCGTTGGTGGTATCTCTGAGCCGCGGCTGCTGAATCATCCGCTGAAGAAGAGGCCGGGGTAAAAGGTATCTCCCCACAAGATCACAGTGCCTCAACACAAGATCTTTGCAGCAAACGGTGGACAAGAAACCTTATGTAGGCCGGTTGGGACGTCTTGTCTCATTCCGGAAACTGTTGCCAAGTGGGATTTAGAGCCTCTCGGTCCTTGGCTATGTACAGTCGAAAGCTCCATCTAGGCAGCCCAACGAAACACGTGTTATGCCCTCGGGCCGATCTATGTAATCACTCATGCATGACTATCCTGTCCAACACTTTCAGCTTCTGCATCGTCCAGCGTGAACGGTGAGTTCGTTCCTGCTTGATGTCTTGCAGTGCCGGCGCAACCGGATCTCCCTTCTGTTTAGCCCTGTCTACCAACGTACGGGCCAGTGTCTCGTTCAAGTAGAGCAAGCTGCCATTCGTCAGCACCATGATCCTTGCTTCGCTGCTCTGTACTCGAACCTCACATTTTGATGGGTACGGGCACTCGCCTTTCGGGTCATATAGAGCCGCAAGTCCAAAGCACTCTCCCACGTGCAAATTGCAGAGTTCCAACTCTGACGGAGCAACTCCGATGAAAGGAGCCATACGCTTCTGGCGAAGGGCCTCCTGCCACGGTGTTCCGCGACGTGGTGTGCCGGGCCTTCGAGGTGTCAAGCGGGAACCTTTCTTCGTTCCACTGGCCACCGACGCGCTCTGCGTCGGTGGAAGAAGCAGAGGTCGATCTCCAAGTTGGAAGACTGGAAGCTCACCGCTGCTCTTCAGTCGGAACCGACTTGGCAGGTTATCTTGCTTCGCCTTGCGCGGGCTGCCACAGCCAGGTCTAGACCGGGGTGTCTCTGACCAGCCACTTTGCGCACTCCCGTCCAGGCTTCCTGGCAAACGCCCCATCCCAAGGATTCGTGAAGCGTCTTCGAGGCTGCCCATGCAAGCATCTTGATCTATGACAGGAACCGACACCCTCACATAGCCACCGGAGATCAGGAAGCAAGCTTGGAGCGCCTCAGGCGGATAGGGCTTGTCACGGGTGGCTCTACACAGGAGACAAGCCACAGGATAACCAGCCTGCCCAATTTCCAGGAATACATCATCATACCGCAGCACTATCTCCTGCAGTTTGCGAAGACATTACTAAGTCAAGTACGCCTTTGCTGACACTCCAAGAGCTGTCAAGAGCCTCCACGTTGGAAGCCAGGAGTGCCAGGTTGTTAATGTTTGCCCCCTCGAACAGTGGTGAACTCGCCAATGCATGAACCTGCGGCTGCTGTGTGCACTGTCTTGATTGCAGACCTGCAACTCAGCCTTCCGTCGCACGTCAGGGAGCAACGCTGCTGCCTGGTCGTCCTGCCGAGCCAAGAACCATGACAATGAATTTCCCGAAACACAAGCGAAGCTGAACAAGCAGAGGCTCTTGCTTTCTGACCTTGCTGTCAACAACCGGTCCTGCTCAAGTGTCTCCTTCTGACTCTCGGGCCTGGCGGCCGCATGCTTGTACTATTGCACTTTCTGGGGATGTCGAAGAGCGGCCTGGGATTGGCGGCATCCTTCCCATCCAGCAGGCCCATCGCCTTCGTCAGGATGGCACTGAGGCTGCAGAACCCACAGCGGTGCTGCACTCTCCCGAGACACAGTCTCAGCTCTCATAATCTCTCTGCCACCTCGCGATAGTCTCCTGCACATATTCGCCTTAGAATGTCAGATCTCCGCAGAAATGTGGCACTTGCTTGGCCATCAAATCTGTGGCTCAGACAGAAGGCAGCTGTCCTCGCATCAGATTAGAACGGTGACATCGTGTGAGTTTGAAACCATTCAACCAGACTTGATCGCGTTTGCACTTGCATGGTTCACTCAAGTATGCTCAAGTCGTCACGTGCCTCCTGAGCATGCGCCCCTGCCTTGCGCCGAGGAGGACCTTCCTTGAAAACAAAGCCGCATGCATCCGGACGCTTTCACATGCGGCATGCTGTCATGGTCCACTACTGGGTTTCCAGCCTGCGCGTCCCTCCAAGCAGCAACCTTTGCCATGTGGAGCTCTGCGAGCTTCCATCACGTCCATGGTTTATGACGATTTAACACTCAAGCAATCCGCCGCCTTCGCATCACCGAAGACCTGGCCGTCGTACAGAGTTTCCACCTGTCCAAGCCAAGCCAAGCCAATCCAACCGATCTACAGCCCACTGCAACTTCCGACAGGACCGGGACCCAGGCAGGTATGACATCTGGTCCGAGATCAGGCATCAGGATCTGCACTGTGACCCCGTCTGGCTAAGCTGGCCAGCGGGCGAACCAATTTCAGCCTTGATGGAGACCGAGCCCTGGATGATGATGAAGATGTGATCCCTCAATTTGGCTCCGTTTTTTCATAATGCGCTTTTTCATATCACTAGTTCATGTCTGTAGGATCTGCACGCAGGATCGCCCTGCTGGAAGATCTGACCTGGGTGTTTTTGGAGGGCTTAGGGACCCCTTGCTCGGAGGACTCAGGGACCGTGCAGCCGCCAGGGACCTCCACAAGTTCGCCTGCTCGGAGCAATGCCACCGCCTTGTCTTCTGCCAGAGCTTGCCTCAAACTGAGCTTGTGGCTTTTTGTGGAGACCCAAAAACCCGATCTCTCAGCAATCTCTGCTAAAGCTCAGCTCGAGACATGCAAGGCCTGAGGTGGACGGAACAGTGTTTCACCGGCAAGAACTGTTTATTTCTCGAACATTCCCCAGTAGCGGGTACTCAGCAGCGGGCAGGGTTCTCACCGCAGCGAAAGCACGCCGAGCAGCCTGACTCTACACATCATCCTGCTTGCTGAGTGAGCAAACGCAGGACGCATCAAGAGAAAGCCTTTTTCTCAATCTGACCGTCCCCAGTGTCGATGACGTCGTCCTCTGCACAATTAGGAGTTTTGACTGCTCGGTGGACTGGCATGGAGAAATGTCTACGCATCTGCCTGGGAATCGTCAGAGCAGATGTCCTGGCAACCGTGTGCATGATGTGCATCTGTGTAAAACTTCCACAGCCAGTCTAGCTTCAAGTTGCTTGCCAAAGGAAATCGCAAGGAGCTTACATCCTGGAAATCTGCGCAGCAGCGCAGCCTCGAAAGCAAGAACGGAAGTGTCGCCTCTTCCACGTCAGACACGGCCTCACCAGCTCTCGCCTGCGCAAGGACCCGACCGGCGGCCCCGATTCCCCCGAGGGCTCGGCTTTTCCTTTTCACGGCTCATGTCTTCGATTTGAACTAGATTCCAACAAAGGATCCGTGAGAGTCCTGTGGCCCTTTTCGCAGACATTGCAGAGTTCGGAACATGTCAACGAAACCAAAACTTAAGACGAGCCGGACTTGATTTGTCAACATGGAGGTTTCAGCAGGGCCCGCGTGATTCAATCTTGTAGACCTTATGCCAACTGATCAGTCATGATCTAGCCACTTGGTGTTTTCGGGAGACGTTTTCAGTCACGGGCTGCATGGCCTTCGCCATGTCAGAATACGCTTTGCGCACTGCCTCGAGCTCCTGACATCGGAATGCGGCATCATTTGTCGTCATGCCACGACATGCCGTGTCCTTCAAGAGGCAACCAGAGGCCCACACAATCAGATAAAGTGAAGCTTCTGGGTCAGGCAGCAACCGACTTCGCAATTCGAGGGCCTTTTATCGACAAAGAGCTTCGCACTGTTGTGAAAATGCGAGTAATTGGATCCTTCTTGGTTTCTGCTTCCTCCGTATGCCTATCCTGAGATCCGAAACATCATCAGCGAACATGACACAGTTGCGCCGTCTCCTCCGGATTCAAAGGCTGCCACCTCGCCTGTTTACAGTGGACGGCATCCGCACAGCTCTTGGCCAGAAGCTGCGAGCCGCAAGCCTTCTTGCTTGAGATGGCTTGCTCAGAGTCTTCGCCTTAGATCCACCATCCTCTGTGCTTTGGGTCCAACTCGACGAGTTGGTAATTGGGGGCCGGCTGTAGAGAAACCGCCGCCCCCAGGGCGGAGTGACTTCCTGCAGCGCAAGCGCTTCTTGCAAGTGGGCGCCCAGCATAAAGGCCACTAGCATCTAAGTCCACTCTGAATGACAATTCTGAAACTGCTTGCACAGAGTCCCTGGGAAAAGATCCGAGCCGAATTGCTCGTGTGATACGACGTGAATCCCAAAAGGGCCGGTCGCAAAAAGCCACGGGACGAGTTCGAAATTGATCAGTGTCGATACCCAAACTCCCAAGAAAACCTTAGCACCCGGAACCCTCAACCGGATATATCCCGACATGGGACATTCCAACACATTCCAAACCTGTGTTTCCAACTTCCTCTGACTCAAACTACTTTCCGATTCCGACCGAATTCTCACGGCCCACCCTGAGGACGCGCAATAAGACCAGCCTCAGGCTCTTTTGGATCCTGACCTTGCATGCTTTTGAGCCCCCGGCAGTGTCGTGGCTGCGCAGCGCAACCAATTCCTTGCGCATCTGAAACACCTGCATGGGCAAACGTTCGGATAGTGAGGTCAAGCATTGCGTCGTGCTTGCATGACGGCATGTTTTCTGGATGGCGGTTCGTGGATGCACAAGTCAAAGGACACTGCTTCTATCTGCTTCCAACAGTACGCTTCCACGGAGCCACACGGCCTCCATGCGGGTCAACATCCTGCGTGCGGGAGAAAGCAGATTCGCCGAAAACGCTCGTTTCACGAGCTGGGCTGCGAGCTGTCGACCAGCCACCGGTCGTCTCCTTTGCAAGAAGGTCTTTTCCCTTCAAGCCGACAGGCATCCGGAGCTCCTGGGTGATCTCCCAGAACCAGAGGCAGAGCCCGAGTCAGGTCGTTTTCCCCGCAATGTTCCTCGAGAAGCAAAGACCAAGTTGGGCAAGCTTTGCTTCTATGGCATCGCTATGGACGCCACAGTTCAAAGACGACGGCACAAGTTGTTGTGCTACTAGTAGCACCGTTGCAAAGACGCGTCTTGATTTTTCTGAGCGCAGGGCCGGATCGATTGGGAGCGCCACGCTTCGATGCCAGAGACTTCGAGAGATCCTGGCTGTACATCCAAAACCATGCAAGCTTTCCCTCTCCCTGGCAAAATCCTTCTTGGTCCACAGCAGCAGCCGGTGCTGATCCGCATTGAGATCCTCGACTGAATCATCTGCCCGAAGTATGAAGACTATCTCCACATCACGCGAGTGTCTCCTCCGCATGTCGTAATGCCTCCGCACTGGTAGTGTATCAACAACCGCTGTGCGAAATGCCTCTAATGGTGCAAGAACTGGTCTTCGAATGACCGCGAATGTGGCCTCATCGATGGCAAGCACAGCATTGGGTCGATCCCGAATCCTGAGGAGGCAGTAGGTGAGGTTCATTCGTGCGGCTGCCCGATGTGGCTGAAGGGTGACCGCCTGGCCAAGTTTGCGAAACAGTGGAATGTCGTCAGAAGAAATCTTCTAGGGAGCAAGGATGGATGAATAGAAACGGGAGGCGGCAAAAAGGGGCTCTCATGGCGTCTTTGTCAGCAGGAGACGTATTTCGGTTGTCGACCCTCTGCCTTTTGAGTTGGAGCTTGGAGGAGAGCGCGCGCGCAAGAGAGAGAGAGAGAGATACAGCACCAGTACCACGAAAGACTTGAATATTTACATGTACCTGCCCTAATAGCTAGAAGCTATCACATGTATAGGATAGATAGATAGATCGTTAGGTAGATAGGTAGATAGATAGATAGATCGATAGATAGATAGATCGATAGATCGATAGATCGATAGATCGATGGATAGATGGATAGATGGATAGATAGATAGATAGATAGAT